ATCTAAAGAGTATCCTTCTGAAACGTTAACTTCACTTAAAAACGTACACAATATCTTTTTCTCCTTTCTAGATAGATTATAAGCAGCAGGTGGTATATATGTTCGTTTTCCTTTCTTCAAGGGTCCTAATTGATTTCTTATTCTCATCGCTATCAACTTCTTTCTTACTTTAAGGTCATCCTTAGGCTTTCCTTGCATATTGAATAACGTACCAATAACACTTTCAAATACATTTTTTTCAATATGCATAACATCAATAAAATGTCTTACACGCAACGACTTCCAATATGACAATTCCAAAAAAATTGACCTCTTCTTCCACCCACGTGTGACAAGAGTATGTGAAAAAGGCTTGCTAAACTGAGTACTCACATCTTTCACCTATTCAAAAATTTGGTCACCTGTCAATGTAGGTGGAGCTCTACCTTGTTATATATTGTCATTGAATTCTTTTCTCCACCCATGATAGTGATGATTAGAATTTAAAAATCTACGATGACCGAGAAAGACATTCTTCTGACAAAATTTCAATCGTGTCCAATCTGTATTTTCTTCACAAATAGGACACGCATATTGGCCTTTAATGATATACCTTAATAGGTTTCCGTATGCTGGAAAATCATTAATTTTGCCAAACAACATCGCCCTCAAATTGAAACTTTCTTTCATGTATCCATCATAAACCTCCACACCGTTCTCCCACAAAATATTTAAATCTTCGAGTAAAGGTGTCAAGTATACGTCAATGTCATTCGCTGGTTGTTTAGGCCCAAAAATTAACATAGATAGCATCATGTACTTACGCTTCATACATAACCATGGAGGTAGGTTATAAATCATAATAATTACAGGCCATGTGGAATGTGAGATACTTTGCAGACCATTTGGATTCATCCCATCAGTAGATAATGCCAAGCGAAGGTTTCTTGCTTCTTCTCCAAAATCAGGATAATCATTATCAATTTTCATCTATTATGGTGAATTTGCCGGATGTTGAAACTTTCCATCTATAATTGTTTCTTTTGCGTGCCAAGTCAAATTTTTTGCATCTATTTCACTACGAAACATACGTCTAAATCTCAGAATTATAGGAAAATACAATAGGACTTTTGCTGGAAACAGTTTATTCTTATATCGAGAGACGCTGCATTTAAGGCACTCATTTAATTATGCATATTCATTTCGAAACAAAATGCAATCATTTGTACAACCATGTATCTTATCATAGCTCATGCCAATAGAGCACAACATTTTTTTAGCCTCATAGGTTCGATTGAGAAGAACATTATCCTCCAGAAGCATCTCTTTCATAATGGCTAATAACTATGTGAAACTTTTATCCTACCATCCATTGCCAACCTTTAAGTTGTACAACTTTAATGCCGCTGACAATCTTGTGAATTTAGTGCAACCTTTATACAACAGTTTCTCTGCATCGTTTACCGACCTCTCAAACATTTTGTAACAATCCTGAAGAACTTCTTCAAGTGCTTCTACAATCTCTTCGACTCGACCACAGTCGTATGTATTTGTGTCATTGTCCTTTGATGCATAGGTCGTATTATTCCCTAGTTCAACATTCTCGTTACTTATCTCACCATGTAATATCCAACATGTATAACTTTGATCAATTCCATGCCTCTTTAAATGTGATTCTAACTGAACTGCGTCAATCCGACGCCCATAATAGCAACCTGAGCAAGGACATGTGATCTGACTGGGGTCTTTGGCGTGTTCAACAACAAACTTAACGAATTTTGATACCCCATTCTCATACTCTTTTGACAATCAATTGGAAGACATCCATTTTTTATCCATGGCTTTTACTAAGTAAGCTAAACAAAAATCCTAATTATTCACGAAACTATAGCAAACAAACATCTAATTACCTGTAGAAAAGTCAACAACTTCTAAAACCACACAATATAAGATTCTTGGAAACGATCATAATCTTACTCTTCACAAGTAACCCCATATAGAAAATTCACTAAGTTAGTAACTGCTGGGGAACCATATATAATAGGACAATAATTTTGTATATAATAGGACAAACAACATATATCGGAGAAATAAGTCAAAGTCTCAAGAATCGAATTTATTAAACATCAACACTTCCTTCAATTAAGCAACATGGCATCGATGCACAAATTCAATCACGCTTAATGTTTCAACTCGAGTAAGTTACAAAAAAAACATCAACTTGAGCATAAATCAATCACCAAAATTATCAAATCCACATTTAAATTACTAAATATAACAACTTCATCACTTAAGTTCAAACAATTAACAACATCATAATATTCAACAATTAATTTATGAATTTCATTCATGTTTCAATCAAGAACATCATTAATGAATATTAAAATAAATTCACAATGTCATCATTATTCATTATCTTCAATCTTAACAATTAACAATTAATTTCATTATCATTTTCAATCAACATTTCGATCAAAACAAAGTAATCACTAATTAACATTTTCAATCAACATTTAGATTAAAAATTCTATCAAAATAAAGTAATTACTAACATTCAACAATTATCCATCAACAAATTATTATCGTCAATTATTTTCAACAACTTCATCACTAACATTCAACATTAACTTAAAAAATTAATAAAAAAATTAAAATAAATTACCATAAATATTACTATACATCATCTTGTGCCTTACTACAACAAAATTTCAAAATCAAATTCAAGCAACATCCACATCAACATTTTCAATGACTCATTTCAATTGTTTCCACAACAAACAAACTCATCAATTCATTACAACAATTAATATCATTACTTTCACATCTTCAACACTAATTCACCAATAATTTCATTCAAGCTTCTATTGAATTTCAATTAATAACAACATCACAATGTATTTCATGGTTTGCGAATCCAAAAAAAATAAAGAAAGAAATACCATGCAAATAACCTTGAAAATGAAGAAAATGAAGAAATACCATAGAAATTATGGAGTGCGGGAGGACGCGAATAGAGGGAGAAGGACATAATTGAAGTCGGTCGGAGGGTGGTACGGCGAAGGGAGTAGTCACGAAAGAGAATACGTCTGGTCGGAGGAAGTTACGGCGGAGGGAGTAGCTCTGATAGAGTTAGGAATACAGACAATACGTAGTCGCGTAAGAGATAGTCAGAATGTCTGGATTTCCAAAACATAAAATTTTGTTTTATTTTTAGAATTTAATTACCTATAGTAGTTCTTTTGAAAGCGCTTTCTTATCCTATACCTATAGCAACACTTTTCTTACAAAGTACTTTCGTATCCTAAACCTTTAGCAGCGCTTTTGAAAAGCGTTGTCTAAAGTGTGACTTAGACAGCACCTATATCAGTGCTTTTGTAAAGCGCTTTTTAATGTAGGTGTTTAGCAGCATTTTCAATTGTTTATCCTAGGTATGGCCTTTATCAACGCTTTTCAAAAGCGCTTTCTAAAGGCATACTTTAGCAGCGATTTTTTCCCTTGTTATTTTAACTTTTACCAGCACTTTTGAGAAAAAGCGTTATCTTTGTAGTGCTGCCAAAAAACAACTTTGCCGTAGTGAATTAATTCGAATCCGAGTGACTTTCATATTTAATATGCAAATTTAAATGCCATAACACTTAATAAATCAAATTTATATTTATTTTCAAATATTTTATATATAAATAATATTTTATCTTATAAATATTATTAGAGTACACTACTAGAAAACTTCATTTTAACTGCGAATTTAGCCTCGGCCACTGACACCGAGGCTAACTAGCCTTGACAATACCCAAGTTATTCAAATGCAAAAAAAAAAACCATTTTAAAGTTACCTTTTACAATTATTTTTATTTAATTCATTAGACATGGCTAGGCCGAGGCTAAATATTTTTTAATTTTTGAATTATTTTTTTAAATATTAGACACGGAAGAGCCGAGGCTAACTATTTTTATTTTTTCAAATATATTTATTTTATCTGATAGACAGGGATGAACTGAGGCTAATCATTCATAATTATTTTTATTATAAAATAGACACGAATTTACTAAGGCTAAATATCTCAAAATTCATTTTACACTCTTATTTTTCCTGTTTCCCTCTTAATTCCTATATCCCCTTTCCCTCTATTATACGAAATGTTCATCAAGAACCCTAAAATTAAACCAAATAGATTTTCAGAAGAAAAAAATCCCTAAAATCAAACAAAATCAATTTTGTATGGTCGTTGAGAGATCATCTCTTTGTTTTCATCTTCAAGATCATCGATTCCCATCTGCAAGATCATCTCTTCGTTTTCATCTCTTCACATGATAGTTGAGAGATGGGGTGAATCAAATCGGTTTTGTTTGTTTCATGTTCATCAGGTACTTTTTCCCCTTTCCTTTCTCCTTTTCCCACTGTTTTTCATGTCTTCGTCTTGATTCTTGCATAACTTTATTGAAGGCTCGCTGGGAATTTCAAACACAAAACGCTATCGCACAGCTGCAATTGAGGTACATGACTATTATTATGAATCATATTAAGCTTCTATAGACAGATTATGCTTCATGTTTTTTAATTGTCATTCCATTGATGTTCAACAATATATTGGCCTGTTTTAATGGTATATTGAATAGTACCCTTTATTTATTGTTATTGGTTCATATTGTCATGATGATGTATGTTTTGGATATCCTTTGCAATTTATTTTATGTGAGTCGTGTATTGGGAGTGGTTGGCGAGGTTGTGTCTAATGTCCAGGTTATTTGAATTCAATTTCACTAACTCATGAACATTCTAATCTTTTGCTCTAACTGCATTTCATAACACCTAACATTACTACATCAATTAACATCTTCACTGTAACTAACCTATCTCAATGCCCCCTTTAGCAAAATTTTGAATCATCACCTATCATTCCAACCTCACTTAACTGAACTTACTCCCTATCTAACAGCCCAATGCCAGCTAAGTTATAACAGAATTGAACTTGGATTAATTAACAGAGCCTAAACTCCGGCGCGACGGTGTTGGTTAGAGACTACGGTGAGGAAATTAGAGAGAAGAAAGTATATTGAACGTATTTCTGAACATGTGAGTTTATGGAAAAATTAGAATAAAGGGCTGGTTTCTCTTTAGGAGCCTGCATAAGTTTCTCTTCAGCGAGCTCGTTAGGAGCCTGCATAAGTTTCTCTTTATTTTCATCCTCAATCACATTCGAGCCACATCTGTCTTCGTCTTCGCCTTCCTCAGTTTCCTCACTAGTTGATGAACACGGAAAAGTCGGCTCATCATTATTGGCGAAAAGAATGTTTAATATCATCTGACACTCCTTCACAATACTATTGAGCACATAAGTTTCAAAAAAGGGTTGGTTTAACACCTCTTGAATAAAAGGCAGGCGAAGGAGAGCGCCGAATCGTTTATCATGTTTCTTTATTATCTTCACTAGACCTGCATAATCTATAGAATCTGATAAATTTCTCTCTCAAATGAATTAAAAAACACACAAGTTTAGATTATTCATATATATATATATATATATATATATATATATATATATATATATATATATATATATATATATATATATATATATATATATATATATATATATATATATATATATATATATATATATATATATATATATATATATATATATATATATATATATATATATATATATATATATATATATATATATGAGATCATAAATTAGAATTTAAAACATGCCTGTGTAATTAAGTGCACTATAGTTCTCTAGCAAAATCATCTCTCCATGAAAATCCACTATTTCCCTGCCTAATGACATCAACTCTGTATTGGAGTAATCCATGGCCCTGTCAACTCTGTCTTGCAACAACTGCAAAAAGAAAATTACAAAACATACAACAGATGTCAGGGCCGGTCCAACACATATTGAGATCTAAGTCGAATGTGAAAATAAAGGCTAACTAAGTTATGTTACCTTCCATTTGATGATGGAGTGAATTTTAAGATGTTTTCCTTCTCTGTATATTTTAGTCATGGAGTGAATTTTAAGATGTTTGTTTCCTGAATAAAACTCATTGCCCAACTCTTTCTACCATTGATGTTGTTTCTTCTTTTGGCAGTCCAGACGATTGGGAGTGTTTCCTTCATTACCTAGGTTGTTTGTTGAAAGATGGAAGCATTTGGTGTAATGAGGTTGTTAATGATCCAGTTCACCCCCCAAAATTTGTCAGTTGCTAAGTATCACACTTGACAGATCAGCAGGTGACTTTTGTCTTTTGAGAGTGTTTAATTAAGATAATAGTTTATGGATGAAGGAGGTGTGTTATCTATTTGTGTAGAGCTTGATTGATGTATAATTATAAGCTACTAACACGAGTGCAGTTTGACAGTCGAATATCAATTGCATCAGCTTTTATACTAAAGTTACAAACAAACACTTTTGATAATTCTGTAAGATGTCCATACCTAGCAACTATAGAAATCGAAAGAAGAAGGCATTTACGCGGGAAGGGAAACAATGACAACTTAATGGATGTCATTGTGAAATACTTTTGCAGGTACATTGTAGCACAGAAAATAGGATTCTTATATATTCTTAGTTATATCCTCAAATACCATGCACATAGATGTAGTGTGTGACTTAAATTTTACTAGTGTCGATGGGGAACAAACTGTAGGGTTCCAAATCTAGTGCTCCTGGTGCCAAAGCCTGTTGGTCCTTGTGCAAACTATTTACTCCGGAGCTTTCTTCAGTTTGTTAAAATTGCAAAGAGTGAAAATACTAACTTTAGTATCTTTAAATATATTATGTTACAGAAATATTTGAATTCTATGGCAGTTTTCCAGTAGGTTTTTAACATAATTGTAACTCTAGATTGGCTAGCTATAATAATTTATTTTAGAAAAATTTATTCCACATATATTTGAAGTGTTTTTGTAAATGTGAAACTTGTTTGTTGTCAGGTTTGGTTATTTGCCATGCTTTACTTCTGATGTTCAAATGTTTGTTGAAGTCTTCACTACTGATAAGAAGACTGAGCTCTTTGGGAAGTTAATGAAAAACAATGACACATTATCAACTCCACCAACCAAGGAACTTGGGCTTTGTATAAGCCTTTCTAAAATTAAACAACAGTTATTGCTAGGGGACATGTTTAAGTCTTCTGCAAGTGGTGAGTTTCATACTGTGGCATATGAATATATATTCATTATTTATTCTCCTAAAACTTTTTTAATGTTCTGCCTCATTATAAATCTAAAACATGCCTGACTTCCTGAGCCTTCACCTTTTTTAATTAGACTTTCAGGAAAGTCATTGACATGGTCTTGTATAATAGATATTCTATAACACATTCATTACATGACCATTTCTCTTACGATTCTTGAAATGACTTTTTAATAATGTAATTATAATTCTATCTCATGGCTGAGTGGACATGCGCCTGATCCATAAAACCAGAAGGTGTTTTTTCATGGAAACTTGAGATTAGTGTTTGACACACCTGAATCTCAGTTGAACAGATCTTATATATATATATATATATATATATATATATATATATATATATATATATATATATATATATATATATATATATATATATATATATATATATATATATATATATATATATATATATATATATATATATATATATATATATATATATATATATATATATATATATATATATATATATATATATATATATATATATATATATATATATATATATATATATATATATATATATATATATATATATATATATATATATATATGTGTGTGTGTGTGTGTGTGTGTGTGTGTGTGTGTGTGTGTGTGTGTGTATATATATATATATATATATATATATATATATATATATATATATATATATATATATATATATATATATATATATATATATATATATATATATATATATATATATATATAAATATATATATATATATATATATATATATATATATATATATATATATATTACTACCAAAATGACCCCTATTTTAAAGTATCCCTAATTGTTTTATTCCAATCTTTCCTTTTTCTTTTTACACACCCGGGAGAGGTTAGAAACAAGCTGCTCCTGTTTTCCACTTGTGGCTTGAAAGTCACATGCTGAACTTCCATATTGAGTATTAATGTAGTTCACCGTAACTTGTCTCAGATGTTGAGGTTTCATGTGCTCCTGTTTTCCACTTTCAAAGGGTTTTGATCCTCAAGAGAGCATGCATGGCAAGGAGTTGCTTTTAATTACATGCAATGTTTTGGTTCAGGTATGCCATATTTCATTTTTTATTTATATTTTATGTCGCACATTGTCAAAAATGATTTAGAAGATATTCTTCTCTTGTAGGTTCTGTTCCCTGTTGGAGGTCAGTTATAAGAGGTGGAATGTTGGGGGTTTCAAGGGAGATCCTGACTGAGGAGGAAACAAACCAAATAGGAGTACCAGTGGAAATCCTTTGGTTGATCAGGTTTTTTCCTAAGCTTGAGGACTCTTTCGTGTGGTATAGAGGATGCCATGGTTTTTCTGTTAAGAGACGTTACAGTGCTTTGTCATAGTTATGTAATGAGGAGTTGGATAAGGTGCGGAAAACCAAGATGCCGAGTAGAGTATAAACTTTCAGATATAGTGTAACGCCCCGATTCTGATTTCCCATTTTTGTTGAGTCTTTTTATTTATTTGGATGATTATTATTTTAATTGTAGAATTTATGTGTTAATATGTTATGTTTGTATATTATGCTATTTTAACGAATTGGAGAGTTTTCGGGGAAAATAGATTGGAGGGTATTTTAGACATTTAGTATTTAATGTTAAGTTGGATATTTTGTGAGAAAATGGATTAATAGATATTTTGAGAGAAATAGAATTGAAAGAAATATAAGTGGAAAGAGGAGAGAAAAGAGATAGAAATAGAAAGAAGAGAAAAGGAAGAGAAAGAAAGAGAGAAGAGGAGAAAGAGAGGAAAAGCTTGGATTCATCAAGAACAACATCTAGGCTTCGATTAAATCGGGTAAGGGTGTGAAATCTTATTATTCTCTCAATGTGTATGATTATGTATGCTTTTGTTGGATTTGTTTGGATTGTTGGAGAGTTTTTACTCATTTTCCACTTAGGGCAGAAGTTGGTTTAATCGATAGAAATCGATGTTTTAACGGTTAGAATCGAGAATGAATGGTGTAGTTTAGTCGAGTAATGTTAGGCTAAGACTACTGGAACTTGTTGGAATTAAATCAGATGATTTTGTGGACTTATGTCATTTTGGACAATTGGAGTTTTGAACATCGCAGACGCTCGCTAGCACCTTCGCTTGGCGAGTAGGTCGCGAGTGTTTGATGTAGCGAGCTAGTAGCGAACGGTCCCAAACTTGGACAGAATGTAATTGGCCCTCTTCGCTGGTAGCGAGTGAGGTAGCGAGGGGTTTTCTATGCGAAGCCCCAGCGAGTGAGTGGCGAGCACAACCAGTAGCTCAGGATCAGGCTTCGCTAGCACGCTCGCTAGGCGATCCTGTAGCGAATGTTCGCTAGGGCCTCGCTAGGCGAGTAGGCCAGCGAACGTGACAACAACTTGTTTTATTTTGTTGCTTCCATCCTATGTTGACGATTCCGATATATATATTTATAACATATAGCTGTGTGCTGTTATATGATATGTTGTGGGTAGCCGTATGCTGTGAATCCTAGATTATGGAATCGATAGTGAATTGTGGCCGTTCGGCAATTATATGTATTATCTAAATTAAACGTAAATGCATGATGGGATGAATGTGAATATGTATACCTTGTATGAAATGGTATGTGATGAATGATGAATATATATATATATATATAAGGGAATATATATTGTGAATGCATATTGATTTGTATGTGCTAATATGAGAAGAATGCATGAAAGCATTATGAATATGTATGCATTTCAAGAAGTGTATGGAGTCATTTTGCATGTGAAGCATCATGATATACATTCTGGTGCTGATTGATTCCGCGTAGAATCTGTTGAACGATTGTGTGCCCATGTGGGGTGTGAGGAATCAGATTGTGTGCTCGTGTGGAGTGTGAGCAATCCATAAACATTGTGTGCCCGTGTGGGGTGTGAGCAATGGGTGAACATCGTGTGCCCATGTGGGGTGTGAGCGATGGTTCCAATAAGTTTCTGAGTGAACTTGAGATGATTGAGTCGGTACCGCATGTGCATCTGCATAGAGTCGTGAGTCGGTCTCTATGAGTTGCATTTATCATCATGAATAAATAAACATAATTGTAAATGTTTACGTGAAGTGATGAATGTTTTTAGTGTGAATATATACATTGTGAGGTATATGAATGAATGGTGAAGATATGCATGATGAATATGCTTGGTGAATTATACACTACAAGAAAAAAGGAGATTTATGACACTTGAGTTGCGACAGTTATCTCAAAACCGTCCTTATTCCTGGATTGCGACGGTTGTCACGACAGTTAGGGTCAACTGTCGTAGATTTTTTGCAACAGTTATCAAAAAACCGTCCTTATTCCTGTACTACGACAGTTCTCACGACGGTTTGAGTCAACCGTCGCAAATTTTTTAGGCATGTTGTATAAAATAATGCGACAGTTACCAAAGAACCACCCTCTTTCCACACTCGCGACAGTTAAGGCGAACTGTGCAATTACTTTAACCAATCATAATCACTATTTTTTTTTATTCCTTTAATTTTTCACTTTTTTCTTTCATTTTTATTTTCTAACATTTTCAATTTTATTAATTAATTTAATAAATAATTATTATAATTTTTATGACAATGTAGCTTAATATTTTTGTCTAAAATAATAGTAAAATAGTTTCTATTTTATTATATAAATAATTAACTTTTATTAAAATTAATTTTGATAACAATGTTAATATATATATATATATATATATATATATATATATATATATATATATATATATATATATATATATATATATATATATATATATATATATATGGGATTAAAATTCACATCATTTCAAAAATTTATTTGTATAAATTTTAAAAA